CCTGCTTCCTTTCTCTCACCACCGCCCCCCTTTTTCCTTCTCCCCTCACCCCCCCCCGCCCCCCCCCCCCGCCAACACCCCAGGCATCACTAACCCTGCAAGTCCTCTGTGCTGCCTGCTCACTCAGTTGGGACACCTACCCACCTGCACCATCAGTAACCGCCGTGCCACCCGCTTTCCTGTTCCATACTTGTATTTCTCATTCCAGGAGCAAAACCGCTCACAGTAGTGCAGAAAGCATCAAGACAGGAGGTGGGCTGCCCAACATTTGGTTCGTCATCCTGATGCAGAGAGGATCCTGACTCTGACCACCCTGGGTGGCTACCTGACAGTGTCCCCAAGCCCCTGGACTGACGTTGGAGGCCACCCTTGACTTATTTACCAGGACCTTTGAGTAAAGGCCATCCTCCTTGACTTGACAGAGGCCTGCTGACAGCAATGACAAGCTTCCTGGCTTTGCGTCCATGCTAAACAGAAAGGCGAGACAGAAGTAACACGAGCCTGCTGTCTCTGGCTGAGGTGTCTAAGCGCACAACGTAAGGTAAGGATGCTGTGAGCATCCAGGTAGACTCAGAATGAGTGAATGCTAAACAACAAGTGAAGAGCCTGTTCCAGTACATAAGCTGGGTGTGTGTCACTGAGTGCAAAATGTCCGCACTGCTGCTTTACAATGATAGTTACCACTCTAGCGTTGAAGTACAGAAGCATCCTGTAAGAGGATCAGTTCTGGGAGGCTGGCACATGCAAATTATTGATGAGGTGAGGTGCATATGTTTGGTGTCCTTGGTGTGTGCCCTGAGATGTTGGTACTCAGTTTTCAACATCAGTATTGGTACTCAGTTTTCAACATCGAGTTTTAGGAAATTTAAACCAATATATTAATTAGCTCACTTGCCACTTTTTGTGAAGCTCTGATGAAATTGCAATCCACAAATTTGCAAGTCTTGTAATGTGATAATAAATCAGGTAAAAATCTGCTTTTGAGTCTGTAATGAGACCCACGAGTTAAAACATCCTGGCCCTATTTTCCAGGGCTGCAGTAGTTTACCTATTAAGTAGAATCCTGAAATTATGCTGCAAGTAAGAAGACCTTTGGTTTGTTTAGAGACAACGATCAAAAAAAAATCACTGTAAGTTTATGGTACATAGAGCAATCATTTTGAACAGACACTGCTGGCTTTGATTGTGTTTTAATTTGAATGGTATTTATCGCTTTAATTGTACAGGAGAAGCTATTCCGAATGCTGTTCAGATGGAATTATCAACCGATCCTTTTGTTTTTTATTAGAGAGATTTCTCATTTTATCCCCTACTTCAGCCAAGCTGTAGTAGCCATTGACTTACTTTTTTTAATGCCTGCTCGATTTTGTGAATTCAGTCAGGTTTTATGATACTTAACAATGATCAATAAAGGGCAGATGCTAATGAAGAGTTACCTTTCAATGCAGAGCTAGGGAAATGGGACCTTGCTTAGCTGTATGGCTGCGGCTGTAGTTTTCTTAGCAGATCAATATCTTGTCTTGTCTTGCTAATTGCTCATTGGATGACATTCGTGGATTCTTTCTTGAAATGTGAACTCTTTTCCAGCTCGAGCGACGTGATGGTACAATACTGAATCTCCGTAAAGAGGTCCTCCTTTTACAAGAGAAGCGAGATGGGTTAACAACTGAGGTACCTTAAATATTTTTAATTTGTCCTCTTATCCTAAAGCGAATGATTTATAATACAGAAATGTATTACAGGAAGCTAAATGGACAAAGCTGATTTGAGTCTGGGCTGTAAAGGACATCAATAGTATTGGCTTTGCTGCTCAGTGCCACCATATTGGCTTCCTGATGACATAAGCATAGTCTCCAAATATAAAACGTCGTGATTCTATGAAGATTCCTTTTTTGACTTCTTATTAGTCTAACAGTGTGACAATTGAACATATTAACATTTAGAATCTATAATTTGTCTGTGGATTGGCAGTTGGATGTACAGGAAAGAAGGATTTACCATCTGCAGGCAGAGCTGAGAGAAGGAGAAGCTAAGCTGGAACAAAAGCAGAGCTGCCTGCAACAGCTGAAAGAAGAGCTGGATACCACCAAAAAACTGCACAAAGATGCTCAAGAGCAGGTAGGTATTTTCTGTACCCTCACTCTTTAGGCCTTAATCTGCAAAATAATCTTATTTTAGATTTCATGTTTAAAATATTTTCAATTCTGCATTAGCTGGAATTATTGCTGTTGTATGTCCAAATCAATTTCGATGTCAGTAGGAGGCATGTACATCAGTTTTATTGGGAGAGAAGGAATACAATAATTTGCTGAATTCAAAAAAGAATTCAAAAATTGGTATGTTCACTAGGGGTTTATTCTGTTCAATCATAATTCTATCATTATAATAACCTTATATTTGTAAGGTTCTTTAAATTTCAGCCCTCGTTATTTGCTATACCTGTGATGTAAAATATATACAGAATCAAAAATTTGATGGCGATATAGTGAATTCATGGGCTGTGAAAACTAAATTATCAAAACTGATAATAGATCCAACTTGTGAAATATTTTTGTCTGCATGTTAGTTTTTGAAATCTTCATGGAACCCCAAAGTTCCTCGACAGTCCTCTATGCAAAAGCTTTTTTTGTTGTTTGTTCAAACTTGTATTGCCAAATAAATAAAAAAAAATTGGAAATATAGGGTTTTTTAAGTTCACAGAGTTCTATTTTACTTTTTTTTGAAATGGCATGATTTTAATTTATTTAATCTATGAATTCATTACAATGCCATGTGTATCATATGTATTTTTAGGCTACTGATGTTTTGTTTCAACCATGCCCTTTAAAGAGGAAGATTTCTTTTTAGAAAAGAGAGAACAACTTCTTAATCATATGTCTATTACTAAACCGTAGTTTACATTGTTGTACCGTACTGTCATCTAATGTCAGGCATAGATCGTCCTCTGTTGAGGTCAGCAATAGCCTCAAAGATGGTGCATATAAATTGGTGCAAGACGAATAAGCCATTTTTCATTGTTGAACATAACTTTTGGACTATGAATAATTATTTAAATTGATATTACTAAAAGAATACACCTTACGTGGCAGTGATTTACTTTTTTTGGTAAGTGATGTAAACTACAAGTTAAATTCGAAGATGCTTATTAATTGAACCTCAAGATTAGATGACAAGCATTTTAATCATACATAGCTGCTATTGTAAGAAGTTGTTAAATTCAGCAAGGGAAGGACAGTGAATAATTCAAAGCAATAAAGTCACAAACATATGTGACTTTTCATCAATCCAAGAAGTATAGTACAGAGCAACATAATATGCATAAAAATATTAATGATTGGGTTTTTTGTATGGCATGGTTAAAACTGAAATACCAAATGTATTTTATAAATGCGCTAAAGGGAAGAGGTTAACCAGAGAAAGAGTAGAGTCCATTAGGGACCAAGGGAGCAACCTGTGTGTGAAGCCACAGAATATTGGAAGGGTGTTGAATGAATACTTCCCTTCGGTCTTCAGGAGGACATAAGTATGGAATTCAGAAAAAGGGATTATGAGGAGCTGGCACAATTTAACCTAGGAAATGGGGAGGTATTGGAGGCTCTGTCGGGCTTAAAAACAGACAAAGCCCCTGGCCCGAATGAATTGCAGCCCAGGCTATTGTGGGAGGTGAGGCAGGAAATTGCAGAAGCTCCGACACAAATTTTTAATTCCTCTCTGGCCACCGGGGAAGTGCCAGAGGACAACTGGTAATGTGGTTCCACTTTTTAAAGGAGGGTGGTAAAGATGAAGCAGGAAATTACAGACCGGTGAGTCTCACCTCAGTGGTAGGGAAACTATTGGAGAAAATTCTGAAGGAGCGAATTAATGCTCACTTGGAAGGACAGGAGTTAATTAGGGATGGTCAGCATGGCTTTGTCAGAAGGAGGACATGCCTAACAAATTTGTCAGAATTTTTTGAAAATGTGATCGTGTGTGGATGAGGGGAGTTTATTTGGACCTTTGAAAAGGTCCCACGTGGGAGACTGATTGAGAAGGTTAAATTGCACGGAATTCAGGGAAACTTGAAGAGATAGATCAGAAACAGGCTTAGTAGTAGGACACAAAGAGTAATGGTAGAAGGCTGTTTGAGTGACTGATGTTCAGCAGTGTACCACAAGAATCAGTACTGGGACCTGTTATGTACATAAATGATATCGATGAAAATGTGGAGGGAATGCAAGCAAATTTGTAGATAACACCAAGATTGGTATAATGGTTACTAATGAAGCAGATGGTTGTAGGTGAATGAAAAATATAGATGGGTTGGTCAGATGGGCGGACTAGTGGCAGATGGTATTAAATCCTGATAAGTGCAAGGTGATGCACATTGGAAGAAGAAACAATATGAGGGACAAAAACAGAAGTTGCTGGAAAAGCTCAGCAGGTCTGGCAGCATCTGTGAAGAAATATCAGAGTTAATGTTTCGGGTCCGGTGACTTTTCCTCAGAACAAGATGATGGAGTATTTAATGGATGGCAGGACACTGGATAGCTTAGAGGAACAGAGGGATCTTGGGGTAATTATTCACAGATCCCTTAAGTCAGAAGAGCACGTGAATAGAATTGTTAAGGCGGCATATGGGACATTTGTTATCATCAGTTGTAACATAGAGTATAAGAGCAAGGAGGTAATGTTGGATAAAAACCGAAAGAACTGCGAATGCTGTAAATCAGGAACAAAAACAAAGTTGCTGGAGAAGCTCAACAGGTCTGGCAGCATCTGTGGAGGAGAAAACAGAGTTAATGTTTCAGGTCTGGCGACCCTTCCTCAGTTCTGAGGAAGCGTCATCGGACCCAAAATGTTAACTCTGTTTTTACCTTCGCAGATGCTGCCAGACCTGTTGAGCTTCTCCAGCAACTTTGTTTTTGTTCCTGAGGTAATGTTGGAGTTGTACAGAATGTTGGTTAGGCCACAGCTGGAGTACTGTGTGCAGTTCTGGTCACCCTCACTACAGGAAGGATGTCATAACATGAGATGGGGTACAGAGGAGGTTCACCAGGAAAATAGCTGGGATGGAGAACTTAAGCTACAAAGAGAGACTAGATAGGCTTGGATTGTTTTCTTTGGGGCAGAAAAGACTGAGGGAGGACATGATTGAGGTGCATTAGATAATGAGTGGTATGAACAGAGAGATTAGAGAGTAGCTGTTCCCCTTGGTTGAAGGGTCAATCACGAGAGGGCTTGGTTTGAGGGTGAGGGGTAGGAGATTCAGAGGAGGTTTGGGAAAAATCATTTTTCACTCAGTGGATAGTGGGAATCTGGAATGCAATGCCTGGGAAGGTAGTGGAGGCTGGAAACCTTACAACATTTAAAAAATTTTTGGATGAGCACTTCAACTATTATAACATTCAAGGATATGGGACAGGTGCAGGAAGTTGGGATTTGCGTGACTTTAGTGGTAGTTATGTTGGTGCAGACTCGATGGGCGAAGGGCCTTTTCTGCGCTGAATAAATCTATAAATGAATTTTAAATGCAGCAGTGTCTTGTTCCAATATGCAGAGTGACATAAAACAAAAGCCTTTTACATCTTTAACTACTGTGCCATGGGTGAAACAATTAAATGTGCACTGTCAATTAGGTCTTCACTTTGGTATATTTGATGACCCCAAAAATAGTTGTGAGGATTGTAATATGCAATAGACCTTGTTTCCATTACAGGTGGTATGCAACCTTTGTGCAGCCTGCTAATTTATTATTGTCATGTCCAACTAGAACAAAATGCTCGTTTCATGGCTGCACACCTCCATGGAGATCCCAAAAACATGAAAGGTTGGCACCAATTAAAAGTAGTGTGCCCTTCTTGTTTAAAATACCCTATATCTCTTAAAGGGGTAGCTGCATTTTGACCGAAGCAGTCAATTTCCATCACTCGTGGCATAGGGTACAAAAGCAAGGAGGTAACGTTGGAGTTGTACAGAAAGTTTGTTCGGCCATGGCTGGAGGATTATTTCTAGTTCTGGTTTTACAATTAGTTTCAACTAGGAAAAGACAGAAAAATGGCACAATTGGCAGACAGCAAGCTCCTAATATATTTATGCAGTGAAAACGAATGCTAGTACAACATTGGAGAGGAGGGGAGCCAGCTGACCATCTAGACTGACTCAGAATCACGTTTTTTGGTCTGGTGGCAGGCTGTTCTAGAAGTCAGGGTCAGCAATTACAGAAGTAGTAAGAATAATACCAGTCATTTAGATGGACTGAGCAGAAGGCCTGCTTTGGGGCACAGGCATTGTATCCTAAACATAAAAAGCATTAAAACACACAACATCCATGTAACATCCCCTTAAGGTGAGTTAGTGGTGTGATGTAATGTCACTCCATTAGTAATCCAGTGTCCCAGCCAAATGTTTTGAGTTTAAGGATTCAAATCCCACAATGGCAAATGATGAAATTTGAATTCAATTTTAAAGATCGGAAATTAAAAAGCTTATCTGTTGGCAATCATGTAACCATTATCAATCGAGGGAAAACCCCATTCAGCACACCCATGTCCATTAGAAAAGGAAATCTGCCTTCCTCGCCTAGTCTGGGCTACATGTGACTCCAGCACCAGAGCAATGTGGTTGACTCTTAACTCTTAACATTTATCTGTTATCAATTGGCTCCAACAAGTCACTCAGCTCAAGGGCAATTATGGGTGGATAATAAATGCAGGCTAGCCAACATTCAATATCCAACAAACAAATAAAAAAAGAGCCCTCACACCCTTATACAATCCCCAAGTCCCATCCATCACAGTATGTGACATTTCATGTCTTGTACCAATCCCAATATCCCCTCATACTGTGTACCCCAACACTTGCCCCTGTACCTAATGCCCCATGATCCTTTAGAGCCCTGTGCTGACTCTTGTCCCCTCCACCCATCATCTTTGTGCTTCTACCAACCATGCAAACTCACCCAGGATGCACCATAAGCAGATATTGGGATTCATGAAGAAATGAGATAAACTAAACTTCTACAAAATAAAGTTTAAGATCTCTATTACAGATTTCACTGTATGAAAAAAAGCATGTTTATAAAATTCCATTTACATTCCTTCAATGACAATATACCTTATAACAACAAACATTTCATTCAC